GGTTCATCATCAATCAAAACGCGTCCGCTTGTTCGTGTTGAATGGCCGGCGACAGATGGCGCCAGCGGCACCGCGCCGAAAGGAAATTAACCGGCAGCCGGAAGCGACTCGGCGAGCGGCCGCTCGCGCGAATCCCTCACACTTCTGTCGCACTCGCGGTTCCGTTCTCCAGCCGGCTAGCCTGGCGTTCACCAGCGAATCCGACGGCGACGGCGACGGCGACGGCGACACGATGACGATGACGATGACGGCGGGCGCGAATAATAGCCGCGAGACGGCGCGCCGGCTGTGGATAAACACTCGCGCGAAGGTAACGTCTGCCATATGCCGGGCTAGAAAACCGGCTGTGATTTTTGTTCTCGTTCGAGCGCGAACGCTCGGCTCGGCGCGTTTATACTTGTCGCGAGGCTCGCGGCAATCGGCGTATTTGCATGGCGCCTCGGCGGATCTGAATCCAGCCGCGAGAAAACGAGATTCCGAGGCCACATTGATCGGAGGGGGTGTTGCAGAATCAACCTAGCTGTCGCGTTCATTGAATATATCATAAATCGGAGCTTTCGTCTGCGTACAACGCGACGTTATACAGAGATATGTATTTATTTGCACGAAATGCTTTCTTTCAGCTTTACTCCTCTAGTAGCACAATATATCGGCGCAATATTGGGAAATACTGTAAATCTAATATTCCCAGGATTGATCCAATATTGTAAGATGGACGCCTTCTCTTATCTAGCCAATATGTCTATTTGGCAATATTGGTCTAATATTGCATCAATATTATACTAATATTCTTGTCGCATTGTTAAAGATTGGGCAATGCACTTCCAACATAAGTCTAATATTATATAATTATTATCGTGCAATATTTACAATTATTCCATGGCCAATATTGGCTCTACGTTGGATAATATTGGCCAATGCACCGTGGACCAGGGTTGTTTTATTTGAAAACGCAAGGTATATCGGTGGAAGAGAAAATATATTATAGAAAAGCCGCGCAATGCACATAACGCTATCGATAACGTTTACAGAATAGGCCTCTAAATCGAGAGGCCTCCGTCTCGCGGCGCGCGATCTGTACGCTCGGCGCGCCTTATCGCACCACTGATCTTATCTATGGAGGCAAATTTGTAATCGTAATTCGCGCGCGAAGACGTCCCAGCGTGCCGAGACCGTCGTACCCGCTGAAGCGATCAATTCTCGGATACAGTCGGAAGAACGTCGCCGGCGCGGAACGCTTGTTGAACCGCAAGGGGGGGTCCCGCCGCTTTCCCCGCCCTGCCGCGCCCCGTTGACGCCGCCGCGAAGCGGTATAACGTGGAGCGGCGCGCGTTGCCACGCGGTGGGACGCCGCGGCACAAGCGAAACCAGCAAAAACGCAACCTTCGTGCTTAAAGCGAGACGAGAGGCACGCCACGGTGACGGACCCGAGGCGCGCACCGTTGCACCTGCATCTCCCTGCTGCCCTGGCACTCCTACCTTACTGATCCCAACTGCGGGATACCGAGAATGCCCGCGAGCGAAAGAGGAAGAGGCTCCTCTCGCTCCCCTGCCCCCCTTTTAGGGGACCCGCCGCGCCGCAAAAATCGCCCTCTACGACGGTTTAATCCTGCGCGACGTAGAGGAGTTTTATCTCACGCCTCCAACTCCTCGCGCGTGTTATTCGAGAACGATACTTTCGAAGAAAGGTACTTCGAGGGATCTTGAATACTTTCCCTTTTGGATAGAACTCTGATTTATTTCAACTTTTGTGAGAGGATGTAAAATTCCACCGGTGGAGAACAAAATATAACGCCAGTGAGACGATTTTATCTTTAGGCGATTGCTTGGTACTTGTACCAAAGTGTACCAGAGTGTACACTCGGCGTCATGAATGCTTTTACCCCTGAAAATAGCCGTCAATATATTACGATAGAAAAATTAATTTTATTAAAACAAATAAATTTTCCTGTTGGATATCTTTAACGTCTTTCTTCGGATGTAAGGGCATTCATGAGGCTGAGTGTTTTATATATAAACTTATATATATAAACTCGCACGTCGCGGTAGAAGACAAAGATAGATCGTAGGAGAAAAAACTTGAATACTGTACTAGGTACGGAAGAAGTCGACAGGACTAAAATACGAAACTGAAGATGGCACATATCACATGGATATCAATCACCTAGTCATATGTAAAATAGAAAATAATAAACTCTTAGATGCTGGTCAGTCATCAAAATAAAAATTGTACGGTAATTGCCTGATTATTTGAAAGATCTAACAATAAGAGAGAATACTGATTAGTGCGAGAAGACTCCGTCAATGTAAAATACCCCGTGCACGTAAAAAAAATAACAAGAGAATTTGACATTTCAGGCGTCAGGCTCTCGTGTTGCACGAGGAGCACGAACACGACGAGCAGGAGCTGGAGCAGGAGCTGGAGCTAGAGCTAGAGCTAGAGCTAGAGCTGGAGCCAGAGCTGGAGCTGGTCGTGTTGGACCGTGACGATGGGCTGGAGCTCGAGTCGCTCAGCAACGGTTGACGTAAGTCCTTCACTATATCGCGACTCGACTCGAACTCGTGCGATCGCGTTGCGTTGGGGCGTCGCGACGTCGTGGATGGTACGCTCGCGTCGCTGTCGCTGTCGCTCAACGTCGTTACTTTCACCCCCACTGCCGCGCACGTCTGATCCAGCTCGGGCAGATCATAGCTGACTGTCCGCACTCCGTACATATCGCTAATGATCTTCCTGGGTCCTGGCTCGTCCTGGCTCTCGAGGACGCGCGTTCTCTTCGGCTTAATCAATTGGTACTTGGGGCGGATCCTCTTCAGGCGCGGCACGCCGTACACGACGTTTCCGCGTCTCTTTCGGAAGGACACGCTGGAGACGGTTTCTTTCAACAGAGACTTCAATATTCGATTGGTCCCCTCGGTGTTCACCACGCCTTCCTCCACGAACAATTCGGTCTCGAGGAGGTCTGTGGCGTACAACGGTGAACAAACCGCTCCTGAATCGTCCACATCCCCGTTCTCATCGTCCACGTCCGCTCGTTCGTTCCCTTCATAACATTCGCTCGCGCATTCGTCGGTCGAGCTGCACGAATTGTCCGTGCTGTTCGGAATCTGTTCCACCTGAGGAGTATAGTAATATCGCGCGATAATATCCAAGAAGTCGATCACCGGCCTGTTATGCTCGCATGCAGAAACTCGTCCTGAAGCATTCGGTTCCTTCTCGCTGTCCGATACAGACATCAGTTCCAAATCGTTGGCCGATTCCAAGTTAACGCCTATGCAATTTGCCTGTT